TACCAAAACAGGTCTGGGTTCATCCCCTGCTATAAATGTACACTGCATGCATGTTTTCCCTAATTGAATCATTTGATGTATGTACACTCCTTGCATGTTCTCTCTATTGATGGCAGATGATGTATGTATGCTCCACTGCACTAGTGTCTATGTAAACCAGATGATGTATGTACACTTCACGGCACTTGTGTTTATATAAACAGATGATGTATGTACACTCCACTGCACTAGTGTCTATATAAACAGATGATGTATGTACACTCCACTGCACTTGTATCTATATAAACAGATGATGTATGTACGCTCCATGCACTAGTGTCTATATAAACCAATCAATAAAACAAAAATGAAAAAGCAATTAAATAAAATTAAGTAATAAAAACAGTAAAAAAGTAAAAACATTCTGAATTAAAAAATTACACTAATATAAATGTACTTTATATATATATATATATATATATATATATATATATATATATATATATATATATATATATATATATATATATATATATATATATACACGAATATATATATATATAAATATATATATATATATATATATATGTGTGTATGCATATATATATATATATATATATATATATATATATATATATATATATATATATATATATATATATATGCATATATATATATATATATATATATATATATATATATATATATATTTATATATATATATATATATATATATATATATATATATATATATATATATATATATATATATATATGTATATATACCTCTCTATTTAGAAAGTTGTTTACTTTCTTTATTATTGAGCACACTAAACATTCTTAGAGTTTTGTATCGTTATTGTAATACACATTAAACATCAATCAATATATCGCTCCTGCTAGTTAAGCAGGAGTCTTCTCAAATTCATACACAAGATGGAGAAAATTAACTTCAACTACTCTATCAAAAATATTCCATTTCCATCGGAAAAATAATTTTTAATACATTTAATGCAGAAAACTGAGGTTCTCATAAAAGAATGAGGTGGAAAGCTTTAATTTTCATAAACAAAGAATTGTCTGATAACAAAGAATTGTCTCAGTTTATAAACTATGATATAAAATCTGCAAAATGCCTACCAACTATTAAAGAAATGTCATTATTTGAAAAAGATGTGTTAAATCTTGTAAAAAATTTAAAATCTCTTCGCGTATCGCCCATGACACTAATCCAAGCCGACAAATCAACTAATATGTACAGAGCATCTAAAAATAAATACAACCACCTTCTAATGAATGCCATAACATCCACGTATAAAATAGCTGAACATAATCTAAACCATAAAATAAATAAGGCAAGTAAAGAAATTTTAACCAACCACGATGTGTTCAACAAAATTGAGTTAAATAGTACTTGTAATTGCTTCATCACTCTCAAAGATCACAAAGTAAACTTTTTAAATAACCTCACCGTCCGCCTGTTAAACCAAGCATAAAACGAAGTAGGACGAATTTCCAAAATTGTTATCTCAAAAATCAATGCTACATTGAGAAAAATGCTCTGCTTAAACCAATGGCAAAGCTCGCAAGATGTTTTACATTGGTTTCAAGGTATTAATGAAAAGCACCTCTACCCATTTTTAGTTTTTGATATAACTGACTTTTACCCATTGGTTAATGTAAAACTACTTAGTGACGCAATTGAGTTTGCTGATCAGCACCTAGTTATAAATCAAGAAGATAGGAGTTATACACACGAGAAAATCTTTAATCTTTACCAATGGCGATTCTCGGATTAGAAAAACGGAGAGTTATTTGATGTAACTATGAGTGCTTATGATGGTGTAGAAGTATGGGAGTTAGTGGGAATTTTTATGTTCCATTAACTATCTCAATATTACAACAGGAAGGAATTAGGTTTATACCAGGATGACAGTCTAGCTATATTTAAAAATCGTAGTGGCTGACAAATGGAAAAAATAAAGAAGCATTTTGTAAATATTTTTAAAAGCAATGGTCTCCATTTATCTACCAGCTGTAATGTTAAAATTGTCAATTACCTCAACTTAACACTAAATCTTAACAATAGTTCCTTCCAACCTTACTCAAAGCCAAATAACACTCTTAATTAAATATACGCCGACTCTAACCACCCTCCGTGCATATTAAAAAGTCTACTGCGAACAATTGAGCTAAGATTGTCTACTGCATCTTCAAACAAAGAAATTCTCATCCAAGCTCAAACATCAGTCAGATATAGTACTTATTTAAAACAAAAATCACAAATGGAACATTATTGGTATAATCCCCCATATAGTAAAAATGTTGCAACAAAGGTAATCTTTTTTTAAAAATAACTTATGCAAGTTTTGCTGATGGTCATTTATTACACAAGATTTTAAACAGAAACACCATTAAAATTAGTTACTCGTGTATGCCAAACGTTAATCAGTCATTAATTTGCATAATCAAAATATTTTATACAATCATAAAAAAACAGCAACAGAAACCTGCAACTGCATCAATAAATCTACCTGCATTATGAACAACCAGTGTCTAAGTAAGAAAATTGTGTATTGAGCTACTGTTTTATCCAATAAACCGGATTACACAGAAAAAATTTATATTAGTATTAGTGAGACCCTTTTCAAAATAAAGGTGTACAAACCATTTCAAATCTTTTAATTTAATTAAGTACAGCAATAATATGGAGTTATATAAAGAAATTTGGAAACTTAAAGAAAACTTTTTGTTTGTTACTAAGTGGAAAATTATCAAGCGCTTCCAAACATATAATCCTTCGTCCGAAATTTGCAACCTTTGTCTATAATGAAAAGTATTATATATCAATGCATACAATTAGAAATTTATTGAACAAAAGGAACGAGTTGGTTTTAAATTGAAGGCATAAAAATAAATTTCTTCTTTCATTTTATTATACTGGCGATTAGCTGATTTATATACAATTTTCTTTGACGTATTCTTGTTTTGTCTCAATAGAGATGTCAGATGTCACTCCACTGTATTTTGTAATTTTATTAACAGTTTTTTGTTTGTTTTTGATATAGTACATGGTTGATGATTGCCGTATAGGCATGAAACTTATATTCCCATAAAAATTTGTTTTTTCTATATGCAAATAAATAAATATATACATATATACATACATACATACATACATACATACATACATACATACATACATACATACACACACACACACACACACACACACACACACACACACACACACACACACACACATATATATATATATATATATATATATATATATATACCCTAATTCATAGACCCTAATTCATAGGGTAGTGTATATATATATATATATATATATATATATATATATATATATATATATATATATATATATATATATATATATATATATATATATATATATATATACGTATATATATATACGTATATATATATATATATATATATATATATATATATATATATATATTATATATATATATATATGTATATGTGTATATATATGTATATGTATATGTGTATATATATGTATATGTGTATATATATGTATATGTGTATATATATGTATATGTATATGTGTATATATATGTATATGTATATGTGTATATATATGTATATATATATATAAATTTTTATTTGATTTTTTTCATAGATTATTTGATTATTTTAAAAAGTTTCTATTCTTTAAATCTTCAATAAAACATAAGTTGACTTGTTTACTTCAGTTAACAGTTTGATTTTTTTTTTCTGTGTAATGAATTTTTAAATAAATCTTTACTAAAAATTTTTTTTCTCTTATGTTTAGTTTTAATTTTTCTATAGTCCACAGGGCTCAAATTAAGTGATTGCGAATGGCAATATTTAAAAATGCTTTCAATTTTTAGCTTTTTAAAGACCTTTAAAAATTAAAGTAAACTTTGTTTTTTTTATTAAACTGAATTGCTGTTATTCAATAAAAAAATATTTATTTTGATCTTGAATTATAAAACCATATTATTATTATCAATTTTATTATTATTGCTTTTATTTTTATTAAAACTTTTGATATTTATATTAATTTTAATATTTTAATATTTTTGAATAATTTTTTAATAAATAAAAACATGATTTTAATATTTTAATTCATTTTATAAATCATCAGATAAACTTGGACAAATAAAGTATACAGAACAATATAATATTAAAAAACAACCACAAATCGCAACAGTCTAAAAGAATTTAGGGGTAATCAAATATTTTAATTAAAATCACAAAATAAGTTATAAAATACTTTTTTATTTTATTTAAATCTTATTTAATATTTTCTTATAATTGAAATGCTCCTAACTTTTTAGCAGATATGTATACAAAATTAAGACAAAGGAGTTTAAAAATATATAAACTAAATTTAAGACAAAGGAGTTTAAAAATATATAAACAAACTTTAAGACAAAGGAGTTTAAAAATATATAAAAACTAATTTAAACTTTTTATAGTTATTTTAAAACAAAACAAAAAAACTCTAACAACTTATTTTTAAATTTAACTTTATTATTATTATTTTTATTATCAAGTAATTTTCTAATTTAAATTTTTAAATAAATAATTCCTTAAAGACAAAAATCGATTTACATGTTTCATATAATGAACAAATAGCTTTAGTAGAATTTTTTATTGGTTGAGTTTTAATTTACAGTGCAAATTTTTTGGGCCTTTAGAAAATATATTTTTTTTACTTTTTATTTTATATTCCTTCAATTGCCTAGTGTTTAAACAAATAATAATTTAAAATATGTAAGTTTTAACTGTTATTATTTTTGCAGTAAATTTATTTTGTTTTTTCATTAGTTTTTGAAATTGACTGTTTTATAAAAACAGTTTTCACCTTTTTTAATTAACTGAGAATCGGATAATCAATTATATTTACAGGTATCTCAATTTGTGATCACTTAATTTGAGCCTTGATCTAGTGTTTTTCTCTCCAGTGTCTAATTTTTATCTATCCAGTGTCTTTATTTATTTAGTGTGTATCTTACTGGAAAACTCTGCTAACTGGGTCAATACCACAGTATCTTAATGCTAAACCTCCTAAACCTTCTAAAGGTCGGGCTGCTATTTGCGATTTGCTATCTAATATTGGTACTGATATATTTTTATTACTTAAGGTAATTTTACTTTCTGTTTAACTATTTGTAGCACAAAAGTATCATTTTACATATATTTATGTAAACATTTAAGAAACATAATAGTATGAATAATAAAAATAAAAACAGGTATTAAAATAACATTTTTTTTTTGTACAAAGCTTTAAAATATTATAAAACAATTGTTTGGTTAATAAAAAAATAAAAATCCATTAAACTAAATACCATTTGTAAACAAAATGTAAAAGCAAATAATTAAGAAGAGGAATTGTAATAAATAAAGTAAAATCTGTGTAAAATAAATTTATTTTTTCATAAAACTTTATTTTTTTTTTACTGTCAACATTTTGTGCATAGTTTAAACCAGGGGTGTGGAATGGTAAAGAAAAATTACCTACTCCAGTCGTTGAAATTTTCAGAGTTCGACTCCGACTCCAACTCCGATTCCAAAGCAAAATTTTTAAAAAGTTCTCTGAATTCTTCAAAAAATATTACGCGATAAGTTAAAATTTTTTTTTTCCAAGTTAATGAAAAGTTTTTTGAAGTTTAGTATAAATACAAGGTTATTTGAATATTTCGTACAATACCGAGAAGTTTTACTAATGGAGTCAGAGTCGCAATTTTTTTTAGCGACTCCGACTACACAGCCCTGGTTTAAACTATATTTTTGTTAGCATTTTGTTTTTAATTATATATTTTTTGCATTTATGGTTTAGATTTACTTTTTCATACTTAAACTATGTTTGTGCCCAGAGATATATATGTAATGCTAACTTTTACAACCTTTATAGAGATATATATGTAATGCTAACTTTTACAACCTTTATAGAGATATATATGTAATGCTAAGGTTTTTTTGTGTTTAGGTCAGTGAGCAGATATTTGTTAAAACAATATTAATTGGACTTGCAAGTAGTGAGGAACCTGTAGTTGTTGTAAGTTTTCTTTCTTATAAAACATCTTAAAAGATGTTTTAAAAAGTTAGAAAAAAAAAAGATAGTTCTGATGAATTTAAAAAATGTACTTTTGTTAAGTTTGAAAATAAAGTTCTGATGGGTTTAAAAAATTTGAATATTTGTTTTGTTTTGTTTTAGGCTGCAGCAATAAGGGGATTAGGTGTTATCATAGATTATGAGTCCATGAAAGAGGTGAGTTAGGGGAGGTAACTACTATTGTTTTTTTATTCACTCATTTGGTCACTGGCTTTGTATCCTTTGGTTTTATAATTTGTTTAAATTTTCTAAAAATAAAAGATTTAACCAAATTAATCATTTTTTTTGCAAAGAAAAAAATGAATAAATAAATCATTCTTTTGGATGAAATCTGAAATCTAAAGTTGGAAAAAATTTGTTGTATAAAAAATTTTTAATATTTAAATTATAAAAAAGGTGGAATATAGTCATATTTATCTGATTCATTACTTGTTTCATGCAACTTGTACTTTATAAAGTTTGTAAAACAATATTAGACAATAATCTTTTTAGTGTATTGTTAGATATGGTAGTAACAAACTATTGCTTTTTTTCTTACAAATACACTAAGGTGTTTATAAAATACAATATGCTATTTATAAAAATCTAGATAAAAACTTATTTATGACATCTTGAAAATTTAATTGCAATAAATTGCCAATCCTTTTCTGATAAAAAAAATTTATTTACTTGACTTTATTTATACTAATCGTCAAAAAAGAGTTTTTATATTTTTATTATAACATTTTTGTTTTTACTATTATACAATTAGGTTATCTCCATTTAAACTTTATAATTATATACGATTAGGTTTCTCCATTTAAAGGTATTCTCCATTTAAACTTTATTGAGTTGACTTTAGCAACTAAGAAAAAATATATTATAGAAATAAATAAAAGTGTATTGCTTTTTCTTTATTTTACATCTTTATAAATTTAAAAGAAATGCGTCATTAAGAATTTTTATCTGGTGCAATTTTTAAATGTATTAATAAAAAATGTTCTAAAATCTTTTATTATTATTATTTTTTTTTTTAAATAAAAAATATATAATATAATAAGATGTTAATAATAAAAATAATAGTTACTTATAATTATGAAATAATCACACTGAAAAAAAAATGCAAGAGAGTGTGGAGCAGGATGTTTGTGGAAATTTTTATAATTTGTTTTTACATGCTGACATTTGACAAAAACCTATATTTATCTCCATTTTAATTATATTTGTGATGTTTTTATTTACCATGTTTGTATTTGTAAATGTTCTTATTCAATTTTTTTGTTCAAAAAGTTGTTAATTTTTTTGTTGCACTTTTTTTAGGATGTTTTGTTTGTCATTGATGTAGCCAGAATCATTATTTTACAACTTTGCAGCCACTCAGTTAATGTCCGTTTAAAAGCTGCATGGTCGTTAGCAAATCTTTGTGATTTCATCTCTAAGAATAAGTTAGTATTTTGTTTGTATAACAATAAACGATACAAATTTTTTTCTTATCAGTTTGCATACATGTATTAATAATCTGTTATTTACATAATTATCATAGTTATTGGGTATCATACTTGTCATTATGTATATCATGGTTATCATAATTTTCATAATATAATTTATTTCAATTATTTTAATTTGCATGCATGTCATAATTATCATAATTATATGGGTTTTGCAAATTATATGGGATTAATGTTGTTATAATGGTAAAAAAGTTTAGTAAATTTAATTGATCATGCGATATTGATCATGTGAGTGAATTGATCATGTGAGTGTCCATAAATTATGTCTCACAATTTTAGACCATTTTTTACCCCTCCCCTACAAAAAACATTGATTCTAATGTGCAAATGTGTTATGTTATTTTTGTAGAACTTATGAGTTTTTTTTTTTTTTTTTTGCACCTGTAACTTATATGAGAGTAACAAGTCCTGCATGAGTTGTTATAAACCATTAACCCCTTCCACCCTCTTCCTAGATCATGATTTAATTTATGGATGAACCCTTATAGTAAATATATAGTAAATATATAAATATACCTTGTAGTAAAAGCAATTCAATCACAATCAAGTTACAATTAGATCCAATTTATTTTATAAACTTTTAGCACTGAACAAACATTTGTGTACTACTGGTGCTAACATGTTAACAGCTGAACAGAAAACTGTATACTGCTGGTGTTAATATTTGATTGGATGTTTTAATTTGTTTTATTTAGGAAAATTATATGCTATTAGATTTCATTGAAGTCTTTGGTTCATCCAAACAGTATCCATTTTTCGATTCTTTTTTCCATTCACAATGTTTTTAGTGTTTTCAAAAATAAAAGAAAATGCTTAATAGAATTAAATTTTTAACATTTTGTTCACCGCATGAGGGCAGCAAATAAATTTACTTGACACATTTAAATATCTAGTATACTAGGTAATTAAATTGAAAAAAAAAATTTATAAACAAAAATAATTTTTTTTTTTAAATTTACAAATGCAAAATTTACACAAATTTTGTAATTGTATATTTGAAAAGAAAATTTTTTTGTATTTATAAATATTGTTTTTGGAAATTAAACTTTTACATTTGTAAGTAAAATAGAAAAATATTGTAAAAATTTATTTAAGTTAAATTATATTCTTTTATGTTTTAGGCAAATATATAATGTAAATGATACATTTCATTTTAGTTTTGATTTTCAGTGTACCTTAACCAGCAAATTTAGTTTACTAAAAGTATATTTAATTCCTTTAGTATAAAAACGTTAACACCTTATTTTAAAGTATATTATTTATTATTATGCAAAGATTTTAGTAACTTTCCTAACTTAAGATAAACAGTAAAAATGTAAATTTAAGTTTTTAAATAACAATAAATTAAAAATAATAATTTGTTAAACATTTTGAAAAGCCTAAACTAGAGAAGAACTGACAATTTAAAAAAATGTATTTTTTTTTTTTTGAATCTTGGTTGTTGTTTTTTTTTTTTTTTTTTTTTTTTTGGTATGATCTTTTAAAATTATGGAAATAATAAACCAATTCGGATTTCCACGTTATACCTGGTGCCATCAGGCTGGCTTACACCCTGGGTATAGGAACTTATCACTATTTAAGACTGTGTTGCTAACAGAATTAATACATGGTTAGTGAGCCTAAAAATCTAAATTTTTGCATAATATCTACCAACTCTATTATCTGCTACCTGAGATCGGACCCGTATAAATACATGGGTCTTTGTAAGTCTATTCCAAACCAAACTTTTCTATACTTTTTCCCTATACATCCTAGCTTTCCGGATCGGTAAAATACGGGTCTTAACCAAGCCTACCATTTCTATCCATATCTATTCTGCACTGATTACTTATATACCTATTCCTTATTTAATTCAATATTTTTTAGTAAAACAATTTATTCTGAAAAAAACATTCAAGAGTAAAAAACTTAACATTATTATTAAAGGTACATTATTATTCATGCACCTTTTTCCGCATATGTAGAGCTTATAAAAGACTTATAATTAGATTTATTTTTCTATTAAATGTATTTCATTTGATAGCTCAGTAGTTAAGTGCGCTGTCATCAGTTTTGTTTTGGGGGGTTTAGGACTTTCCCTCAGCGTAATAAACTTTGAAATTTTTTCAATCATGAAAAAATACTTATAACAAAAAAATAATAATGTAGCAAAAAAAGATTTTTAAAATTTAAAATAAAATTTTAAAGTTTTCTCATTTTATAAATATATTGTACGCTATTATCTCTATATAATGCAAACTCAACATATGCTAAAGATGTTTACACTTACAAACGTTTGTACGTAACTCTATACAAATAGGACTAAGAAGATCTAAGAATAATTATTATTAAAAACTAAAGAATAATATAGCCTTAGCTATTAATCACTAATCTAAAAGCTAAGGTAAAAATATTTTGCCCATTGACGTCGGTTTGTGGCAAAATAAACCTTTATGTGTCAAGTTTTTTCCATCTTACATTTTTTTATTAATTTTAATTGTTGCATGCAATTGCATAAAAATGTATAAAATCGATACAGATATATAATTTCACGGATAAGAGATTGTATTTATTACAATAGTAATAAATAAATAGTTGTTGTCTTTATTAGAATATATCCCATAAAAATATACTCCTTATATAATTTAATAGGAGTTTTTTTTTTAAATTTAAATCAAATTATTATTTTTTTGTTTTTCTAGTTTTTTTCCACAAAGTGATGTCAAATACGGAATATATTGTGGCTACTACGACTTTTGAAAAAGCCTCGACTATCATTTTTAACGGTCTAAAAAGCAGAAAACATAATTTTTGCAATCAGAAATTATCAAGAGAGGGGCAAATCTAAAATTAATGTTTCAAATTTTCCACTTGGATTAGACTATACGTTTCGTTGATCAAAAAATACTTGTAATTATTAGAAAAGTTTACTTATATTACATATGATCCTGAATAAAACGTTATATAAGTGGTTTTACATAAACATATACATAAACAAATAACCTATTTGTTTATATACATCATTTATATAGGGATGGTTAAGCGCCAAACCTGCCTATACAATTAAGTTTAAAAAGAAATTAGTTTTGTATTAAAAAACGGTTTATAAAATGTTTTTTTAAGGTAAAAAAAATCAATTTTGACCTTTTTACAAAATAAGCTAGTTTTGATGTCTACAAACATTTAATACATATTTTCAAAGAGTTCTGAAAATATTCTAAAAAAGTGTTAGTTTCAAAAAACATTTTACAAAGACTTCCTCCTAATAATTTTTTTTAATTGATTTTTCTCGAAATAAGTAATAAGCATATTAAGGCATTTTGAAAAACGGCTGCAGCATATATTTATAGTAAAAAAATAAATGTACCAAAAAACAACTTTTAATTGTCAAAAGAAAGTTTTAAAGTTTTTCTAGCTACAGATTTTTTGTTTTTTTTTTTTGCCTCTAAAGCAGCACCATCTGGAGTAGCAGGGCTGCCTTGTTAAGTTTTTTCTTAATTAAGTTTCAGATAACTTTTTTTTCAGACTATCCGCAGCTTATTAAGACTAATTACCTGAGCCCATTAATAACATAAGTGTCTCAATCATCATACATACGCAACAAATTTTTTCTCCTGGTGATGTTTTTTTTTTCATTTTTTATGAAATTTTAGCTTTCTTAAAATCGTTTCTTTTGTAAAAGTGTATAGTATCGTTTGTTTCATATGTTTGTATATAATCTTTATAAAACTTCAAAAGTATTTTATATTTTAAAATAATCGAAAAAAAAATTAAAAAAAAAAAGTCGCCTGTGGTAGGAATCAAACCTCGGCTTACTTGTTCAGAAGCTCTGCGCCTTATCCATTCGGCGACACTGGCACATTCTCAAGCTAATATTTTTTCTATTACTTATGCTATTATTTTTTCAGTTTTGTTATTATAATTACTTTTCAAATAAAAATTAGGAAGTTTTGTTAAATTTTAGTTATTTAAATCTGGTATATTTTACTCTTCACAGCCTACATGTACAATACTTACCGCAACCTGGACTTTTAATACCCTTTAAATCCTGACCCACCAACATCTTCCACAGCCAGCATCACCAAAACTTTTTGCAACTTGCACTAGGAACATCCTTGGAAATCTACTGAATATTTCTCTGGTGCTTTTTTTAAAACAAAAGTTATTTACCAATATGTTTTAAAATATTTTAAATTAGGGTTATAATTTAGTATTTTTTGAAATTTTGTTTGATACTGCTTTCTTTTTTTAAAAAAACTGAGTGAAATTGATTTTGAAATAGTTTTCCTGAAAGTCTAACAAAATTCATCAAAAACACTTATCTAGTGATAAAATCTGGTATAAAATCTAGTTTTTGTTTTTTAAATATATATTTTACTCACTAAGGCCAATGGAGCTAATACTTATTGAAGAGAAAACTTCATCTCTAACTTTTTTTCTTGATTGTGACTCTGTAACACAAATTTTGATGATCCAGGCTAGTGTGCAAATATAAGTACATGTACAATATTACTAGGGATTAATTTTGTAAAAATTTGTACTTTTATTTACAAAGTTACTACTACTTCACAACTACCACAATTTTCTTCAGTTTTTAAAATTAACATCTTTAGAATGTTTTTATTTATATGAATGTTTTAATACCAGACTTTAGTAAATTTTTTTTAATTTCTAGTCATTAACTTTATTTTTAATTAATTTTATTGCTGTGAGGCTCCAGGGAAATTTGTTATTACACCTCTCTTACATGGTTCAGATTTTGTTACCTCGTTAAAAGTCAAAGCAGAATTGTTTAAGAACTTGTTATCAATCTCATCTCTTGTTTCCGCTAATCATATCCTATCTGTTATAGGCAACAATCAGGTTAATTGGTTGCATGAACTTCGTATCACTCCAGCTTCTGTATCTAAAGTGATCTCCTGCTTAGACTCTTCTACAGCTTGTGGTCCAGACAACGTACCTGTTATAGTCTTGCAGAATTATTCTTCAAAGCTGTTGTCTATACTTTCAAAATTATTTAACAAGTGCTTATGAGAGTCTTGTTTTCCAGTCTGCTGGAAAGCAGCATCTGTTATCTATATTTTCAAAAATTCTGGAGAGTGATCTGATTTGTCTAACTACCATACTATTAGTCTTCTTCCTATCATAAGCAAGGATTTTGTGTCTTTAATTAACAGACTCTTAATCTCTCATCTTGAATCTAATAACTTACTTTCTGAATATCAATATGGATTTTAATCTTCTCATTCTACTGCTGATTTGTTAATGGTAATAACTGATAAGTTTTATTGTGCATTAGATAGATGAGGAGAGTCTAAGGCTATCTCTCTCAACATTTCAAAAGCCTTTGATAAAGTTAGGCATGCTGGTCTTCTCCATAAGCTCTCTTCTTAGGATGTATCAGTTAACATCTTTAAGGTTATTCAATCCTTTCCTACCAATTGCAGTATAAAAGTTGTCCTCGATGGACAGCACTCTTCACATATAACAAAGATATCTTGTAACTTCAAGGGTTCATCTTGCTTCTATTCTTGGCCCTATACTTTTTTAATCTACATTAACAAAGGTGGCATTGTTTGCTGATGATACTACCATTTAATCCTGTCTTGATTAGAAATCAACACTCTTTGATTGTTCGGAAAGGGCATCTAAGCTTAAAAAGGATCTCACTTTTGCTACAGTAGAAGTGAGATCCTTTTCAAGCCTCTCAACAATCTATATCTTCCTATATTTATAAATAGTAATGTACTTGATGAGTCATCTACCCTTCGTCTTCTTGGATTAACTTTTACTTAAGATCTTTTGTAGAAACCATATATCAAATCCATTGCAAATTTAGCATCTGCTAAGGTTGCATCTCTTTATTTTGCTTGTCACTTTCTTACTCTGGATTTTATTCTTTATCTCTATAAATCTTAAATCCGTCCTTGTATGGAATACTGTTGCCATATCTGAAGCGGGTCTTGAAATGATGTTCTTTCTTTTTTAGATAAGGTACAAATAACAGTTCGGCAAAGAATTCCAGTTTATAGTTATTGAAGTTTAGTTTAGATAGTTAAGATATTTTGTTGTTAAAGAAGTTTTTTCTTGAGGAACGCTTTAATTTTACACGTCTTTTTTTATGTTTGATGAAGGGCTGTTGCTTGTTAGTGAGGAACCCAGTTTTTGGTTTTTAAACTAATTTAAAATTTGTAATGATTGATTTTGAACCAATTTACAATTTGCAAGTTACTCTATATTTTGTTGTTTATTGAATCCTCCCTAAATCCGCCATTTTCTAAAATTGTTAAATTTAGTTTCTGAAGTCTTTCTTCATTCAGTAGGTTTTTGAGATCTAGAATAAGTTTTTGTAATTCTTTTCATCCCTTTGATTCTTCACCTGATTCTCTGTCTTTTAATATTTTAACATCTTTTAGCTTTGACCTTTTACCTACTACACCCTAATTATGCTTCACTGAGGCATTAACTGCTCAGCGCAATTCTACTAAAGTGCATTGCATTGAACACAAAAGTCATAAATTTTTTATGTCTATGTTATCTGAAGAACTTCTACTGTATTTTTTAATATAATTATATAATATTTTTTAATATACTGTATTATTTAACTGTAGTATCCTAATGATGACTTTTTATAATTTTGGCATGTTATATTATTTTTTTGTTTCAGATTGTTGTTAATCTGGCATAGATCAGCAAAGAAAAGATCTCAAAGCTCTCTGATTTATTAATAAAAACTTTTTTTTAGCATCTTGAATTTAACAATTTTGACATATATGTTAAAATTGTTAAATTCAAAAAGTTAGACTTATTGTAATACTATAAGGTTTTGGAAAAAATAAAGAAAATTTGTTGTTGTTGACCATGGTTATTTACGATATTAAAAACCTTATTATTATTAATTTAGTTTCCTTCTTTCTGAGTTTCCTGAAGCTTTAGTGCAAGACTTACTTAAATATTCAACACAAGCATCACTAGATAATGAAAAGGTGCATTATTAATATTTAAAAATTATTACTTTTTTTTTTTTAAATTTTTAATAAGATTTATTTTTAGGTTAGTTGCAATGGTGTGCGTGCTTTAGGTAACATCCTAAATGCTCTTCCAAAAAAGATTTATGGTAAGATAAGAATTTATGTTTTATTTTTTTTTAATTCAAGTTTTATTTTATTGTGTTTAAAATATTTTAAAGAATAAAATAAAACATATTCATATTATCTATTATGTCTAATTATGTAATAACTATTTGTGTTCTAGTTGTAATTTGCAGAATTCCATTAAACTAATTTTTGTCATTAAAAAAAAATGTTGATACTATAAATTTGTGTGTGTGTGTTAAATTTATGTTATTTTTTGTTTAATTTTTATTTCAGATGAAGAAGTTTTTTTTGAGAATTTAATCAGAGCTATCGATGCTCTTGCTAAAAATATTATCTCAGCTCCAATGAAAGTAAATTTTTTTTTGTCGCCTATTTCATCTTATGCTTTATATTGTTGAAATATATTTTTTCGTAAATATTTTAATTTCTACCTAAAAAAATTTATGTCATAATTTATAATAAATAACTTCATTATAAAGTGGAAAATGTTTTGAAAATAACTATATATTGTATAGTTAAAAAACATAAAAGTTGAGCTGAGTGCAGATTTAAAAAAAAATTTAAAAAAGAAATAGAACAAAAATGATAAAAAAGTAAAGTGTTTTCCTCTACAGTGAAAGTATCAATTATGTTTTTTAAGAAAGATTGTACTGCCAACTGCCCTGAAAAAAGATCAATTGAAGACTTGTGAAGTTGTTTAAAAGATTTAGTCTACAATGCCAAAAATGTTTACAATTCAATTGTAAGAATAAAATCTTGTTTGAAAAAAGTCACTCCAAAGTTAGTACATAAGTTTGCAAGCTTTAAAAGAAAAAAGTCACTCCAGAGGTAGTACATCAATTTGCAAGCTTTAAAAGAAAATTAAATACAGTTCAACTTAAATGATTACAGTAAAAGAATTAATTAGCATTATTAGATGTGTTATAAAATTAAATCAACAAGAAGTTAAAACAAATTAGTTGAAAGGTTTACAAATAAGAAGAAAAAAACATTTATGTATACATATATGTTACATCGAATAAACTTTTTATTGTTAAGTAAATCATTTTGGTTTATATTTTTAAATTTGTATGATTGTTTAGACTCGTTGGAATGCTTGTTATGCTTGTAGATATATCTTTGTAAACAAAGATTTTCCAATAGAATTTTCTGATTGGAATGTAAGTAAACATTTTCTCATCCTAATAAAAAGTTGTTTTCTTTAAAAAATAGTTTGAATGCTTATAAGAATATATTTTGTTTCTTAGGGAATTTTTCTTATTTTAGGGAAAACTTTTTAAAGCTCTGTTAGAAGAACTCAATGAATGTAAAAATTTTAAGGTAAAAATGGTTATTTTTATATGTTTTGTGTTTTACTTTTCTTTTATAATTTTTATTTTAAGAGGATAATTTTGTAAGAGAACTGCTCACTCTTTTTAAGGTTCGCATCAGTGCTGCTTGTGCACTAGCATCTCTTTCTTTACGTAGAAGCTATGGAGACTGTCAACTATTTTTGCTAGTTTGGAGAGAGGCACTTGTAGGTCTTGAGAAATCGGAAGATCTAACAGACTTCACTGAGTTTAGGCATAAAGATAGTTTGCAGTTCAAGGTTATACAATACTGGCTTTGTATTTGAAAAAAAAGTTTAAATTATTTTGAATAAATATTGTTATATATTTCTTGAGTTTTATTTTAGATTACGCTATTACTTTTTCACTTGTTATCGTTAGCAACTTCAGAAGATTTAAAATTAATGTGTCTAGAAACTAAGAAGCATGACACAATTTTTATGACGCATTGTCTGCATATTTTAGCAATAGTTGATGAAATCGATAATCAAGACCAAAATGCTATTATATTGGTAGGTATAACTTGATTTACCATAAGAATAATTTTTAAAGATAATACATTTTCTTTTAGTTTATTTTTTTACTAAATGATTTATATGATTTTTACTTATAGCAATCACATTAAAAGAAAGATAGACAGTAAGGGGGACAGCTTTTTAGGTTTCTTTGTTACCTGGGTCTAATCATTGGTTTTACAGCCTTATCTGACATAATTGTAAATATAAACAAGTTTTTAATTTGTTCTGTGTCTATAAGTAAACTTAAAAACAAAAAGATCTTGCACTTTGGTATGTCTTTGGTATGTTTAAGGGGTAAACAGATTCTATCTGTTGACCAGCCTCGCACCCCTTCGTCATCTATTAGGCTGGTGCAGATGTATTTTTAATACATTGTTTCCAGTTTAGGATGTTGAACGCTGGATCTTCTTGACTCGATTCATGGGTTTTGCTTGTGTCTCTGTTTTTATGACTAGGCAACTCATTCTATTATCTCCAAATGAGGGTTCAGCTCTAAAACTCAGTTTTATGGTTCTGAGGCCGGCTGGTAGTCAGGTTTCCCGAACTCTGTGGTAGCTCTCAGAGAGGCTGATTCCATCAACAGCTGAAAAATATCAGAGTACTAACAGTGCCATGTTGCGCATGGATGGTGTCCCTGTTTGTACTTTTTGTGTGCATTGCCAAGGCCACATTGGAGCCCTTTGTTACGGCTTAGAGTTTATTTGTGGAAATGAGGCAATTGCTTGAGCTATAGAACAGTGTACTGAGTACTATCAATGTTTCGAGTCAAGTTCTTTAACAAATTTAAAAATGAATAAAGTAACAAAAACTATAAAACACAAAAAACTACAGTCATCACCAAGTTCGCTAAACCTATCATTCACCAGTCTTCGAAGTAACTTTTCTTCTGTTGAGTCTTATCTCTTGCAAAGTTCACCAGACCTGCTTGCTCTTTGTGAGACTAATTTGAGTTCAGCTGTCTCATCTTGTGATCTTAGTGTTGATGGTTATCTTCCTTTAATTCGTAAAGACTCCAATAGTCACATGCTTGGCCTGGGCATTTACATTCGTAAGAACTCACCCATTTGTCGGGAAACTAGGTTTGAATCCACAGACTACTCTTTTATGTGCTTTCGTTTAGCACCACTTCACTCTATCACCTTTCTCTTTGTTCTATATCGCTCTCCCTCATCCCAAGACTGCACTCTTCTTGATGTTATTTCTGATTATATGGACCAAGCCCTCATTCTTTATCCATCAGCCAATATTGTTGTTGTCGGTGACTTTAATGTTCATCACACTGAATGGCTTGGCTCTAGTGTCAGTGACTCTGCAGGCATTAAGGCCCACAACTTTTGTCTTTCTCAATCCCTAACTCAAATAGTCAACTTTCCAACTTGTTTTCCAGACAACCCGAATCATTTACCTTCTCTACTCGACTTATGTTTTGTTTCTGATCCTAGTCAGTGTTCAGTTTCTTCACACTCACCCTTAGGTGCCTCTGATCATGGTTTGGTCTCTCTAAAACTATTATCTCATTCTTCTTTACCATTAGAATCCCCCTATCATCGTACATCTTACAACTACCTTAAAACTGACTGGGACTCTTTTCGTGACTTTCTTTGTGATGGCCCCTGGGTAGAAATCTTTCGTCTCCCTGTTGACAAATGTGCTTCTTACATAACTTTGTGGATTCAGGCTGGCATGGAATCCTTTATTCCCTCTCGACGATTCCAGGTCAAGCCTCACTCTTCTCCATGGTTTTCCTCACATTGTGTTGCTGCAATTGCCAATCGAAACCATTACTTCCATATCTATCAGCAAAACAATTCTTCAGAAAACATACGTCTCTTTATTACTGCTGGGAACCATTGTAAAATGGTTTTGTCTAACGCCAAAACCCGCTATTCTCAGATCATGAAATCTCGTATTTCATCACAAAAATTAGGCTCTTGTGACTTCTGGAGAATCTTTAATAGTATCAATAATAAGGGCAAGTCTGTAATTCCATCTCTTTTGTACGGTTCAGATTTTGTCACCTAAAGACAAAGCTGGATTGTTTGCCAAGAACTTTTCATCAATATCATCTCTTGATGCCACTAGTTGTGTTTTACCTGATAAACCCGTCAAACAGGTTGATCCATTGCTCGACATTCGTATCACTCCAGCTTCTGTATCTAAAGTGATTTCCCGCTTAGACTCTTCTACAGCTTGCGGCCTGGACAACATACCTGTTATAGTCTTGCAGAAGTGTTCTCCTGAGCTGTCGTCTATCTTTTCAAAACTATTCAACAAGTGCTTATCAGAGTCTTGTTTTCCAGCCTGCTGGAAAGCAGCATCTGTTATCCCTATTTTCAAAAATTCTGGAGAGCGATCTGACTCATCTAACTACCGTCCCATTAGTCTTCTTCCTATCAAAAGCAAGGTTTTTGAATCTTTAATTAACAAACACTTAATCTCTCATCTCGAATCTCATAACCTACTTTCTGATCATCAGTATGGATTTCGATCTTCTCGTTCTACGGCTGATTTGCTATCAGAGTAATAATTAATAATTTCTTTAGTTAGAGATTTTATGCTAATTATTTTTTCAGAACTTTCAACTTCACGCAAACTAACCAGAAACCTTCCGCCATTCATCTGCCTAATTTTCCCAAAATGTTTTTCAAGAGGATCAGTTTGAAATCTACTAGTTAAAATGTAATCATATCCTTCTGAAGGTAAATCTTTGATTAAAGATGCAGTTCCTTTTAATGTGACTATTAGTGTATTTGATGTCTGAGCTGTAAGTGACAATTTGTGACACCCCTATAAGTTTGTATTATACCATTCACTTACATATTGAGCAAAAGCATTTAAAAATTCAGGTTTCTGATCATTTGCAACAACAGCATTTCCTATTTTATTATTAGTATTATATATATATATATATTCTTTGAATTTGAAATTTTCCATCAAGTATTTATCAAATATAGAAAATTAGCAGCACTTAACTCTTTCGGAAAATAACTTTTGATGGCAGAATATGTTGACTCATGGAAAATTTGCAAAGCTAGGATAACACTTTGTTTATTTTTTCCTGGATGTAAACCAGCTAGAGTAAGTGTAAGCTTTCTTTAAATTAGCAGGCAGTAAGTTATCTCTTTCATTAACTTGGTAAAATAACTGCCAATAAATATCTCCAGCTTCAACATTAATTGAATCCTCAAATTTATCAAAATAGAATTTTTGAAAAATGAATCTCTTTGAATGTAATAAATTATTTCTGATGTTTTTTGAAATATGTACACTATCGAATAATGTATAAATTTTATTTTGTCCATAATAAAAAAAAAAAGTTTTCAGTAGAACTATACTTTTTTATGAGTTTTTTAAATGCAAGTGTATTAGTTGAATGGTTGTCTGTGATAATAGCACGAATTTTAAAATTAGATCAAAAAGATTTCTTCAATTTCAGTCATCAACCAATTTCCAGAAATACTTGTTTTAGGACATGCTTTAATAACAAAAGGTATAGAACGTTTAATACCAACTAACATAAAAACTACAACTCCTGAATAAAGTTCTCCATTCTCATCTTTTCCAACAAATTTACCACCATGATATTGAACACTTTTTTGCAAGTACATTTCATCAATTAACAAAACTGAATCTGAGCTTATTTTTTCTTCTTTTAATAAATATTTTAATGCTTTAATTGGTTCGATTCCACCTTCAGTTAATGCTTTTAAATATGAAAATGAAGGAAAAGGGAATTTATCTAATAGCAAGTTATAGGCTTGTCTAGAGGTATATCGTAGAACCAAAGCAAATCGAATAAGTTCATTACTATATAACTCTCTACCATGTGATTCATTATACATAAAACTATAAAGTTCGCTTAAAATGTATTTTTTCTTTTTCTTCAACTCGATTTCTCATATAAGAAACTAAATTTTCTAACATGCTGACACTAACAAGTGTCAGCATGGTAGAAAAAACATGTTAGTTATGAACAGCATGTAAGTTGTTGTTGAAAACCACTGTTTCATCTAGCAATGAATAAGAATAAGGTCTTTTTGTAGGAGTCCTTCTTAAAGTTATAGGTGTAGGAAGTAAAGATGGCTTTAAAAAACAATCTTTATTTGTATGAATTGTTGGAATAGGATTCTTTGTAAAGTCTAGTGTATTTCTTTTGCCTCGTTTAATAAATTTTTCTTCGAAATGATCAATACATATTCCTGAGAATTTAGATGGTTTCCAGTTAATTCTGTTTATAAACTTGATCCACCGGGAGCATAAATTTATGTCTGAGGGAAAATTAAATAATGTTTTAGTAATAAAACCCTCTACAGTATCTTCATTTTTTTTTTTTTTTTTTTTGTAACCGCTTCTGCAAGCAACTACACAGCACTTTTTAGGCATTTTATAAGACAAATAAATAATGTAAAAAGATAAAATGAAAGTTTGTTTTTATTCTAATAACAATAGTTGTATTTCCTTTGAGAACCACTTAAAGCAAATAAAGAACTTGACTAAAAACTGGCCTACTAATTATCGGACTTGTAAGCAACAAGTCCGGCCGTGTATTGAAGCAGGTCATGTTTATAGTTATAGATAATTGGTTATGGCTTTTATAATTGGTTATAGATTTTATATTTAAATACAATCATTAATGATATGATAAAATAAGCAAAAGTGTTTTTACTTGTTTAAATAGTATCAATTGATAAGAATGTCTAGAAATAAATGACATTTTTTTTTTTAATTTTTTATTTATTTTAATAGGGATCGTTTTTGGCTGATGAAAAAAATAAAGAAGAACTTGGTATGCTTTTCTAATTTTTTTCAAATTTTTATTTACAAGATTTCCAATTTTATCTATAGACTTAACTTTTTTATGAAATGTTGTTAGTTTTCACTTAATCATGTTTACTTACAATTTAAAGACTACCCTAGTAGCAAGCAACATTGGTGCAATATTGGACACGGCTGTTTCAAACCGAGCTTAACGGCTTCTTGTTAATTTTTGAAAATATTGACTAAAGGGGTGTTACTAAAACTTTTATAACTTTTGAAATATAAGAGGTAATTTTGTTTTGTAAAAACAATTAAGACATCAATAAAATGTTTTACCTTATGACATTTAATGCATTAGTAGAAAAACTTCTTTTAGTTTAGAATAAATATGACATATATTTAACTAAATTTTTGTAATTTGATGTTACTTTTTATCAAAAAAAAATTAGAAAAATATATTCCTAATAGTTATTATCAAATACACTTATTGTTTGACAATAATGAAAACAAAAAAACCTTACTTAATTATTTAAGGTTAACTAAAACAGCCTTAATCAAATTGTGAAGCAAACCACATTTTTCGCAAAATTATGAAAAACGTCGTTATAAGGGGGGATTAGTTGTTAAATGAGTACTTTTTTTAATATAGAAGTTCTTGATTTAGAAAATTATTTTGGAACGCTGATAAAATCATTACATTACAAAATAAAGTTCTAATAATATGGTGTTAGGTAGTTAATAAATAAAAACTCATCAATTCTAATAAAATAATTCATGACCAAAATTGAGTTAAAGGTTTTGAATTAACCTAGCTTTTGGTAGTAGAATTATTTTATGGTACTTGTATCAATAATCTCTTCTCACAAAAAATAAAGTGTTTAAATATACACAAATAGCTGATTTAAATCTTTTGATAATTCGTTTTTATTTTCATTAAAAACTGTTTTATAATTAGTTGGTCCATTGATAAGTTCTTCAAGCAGTAAACTATCTTTGAACACCCAGATGATACTAGACTCATACATAATTCATTTAAAACCAGAAGAACATTTGGTCAACTTGGCAATTGTGATAATAAAGTTTACAACTTCTTAATTTATCAAGCTAAATTTTTACACCAACTTGATAAATGAGACTTATATTCCATTCTTTAACCAGAGAGGAGGTATGTAGAGCAGAGGTCCTGCGAAGGTAGAACTAACTTTTGATGATAAAAATTGAACGGAGATCTAATATATATAAAAAATGTTACATAACAAAGGATAAAACGTTTTTTGAATTATAAATATAAAAATTACATAACAAAGGATAAAAAGTTTTTTGAATTAACTACATAAACATACAAAATCATATCCAACAAACATACCAGTTGCTCTGATCACAAATTAAAATAGTTAGCTATACATTTGATGCTAGACTTTTATTCCATTCTTTAACCTGAGCAAAGGCATTGCATAGATATAATAAACTTTTGAAAATAGGAACAGAATGGGCATCTACCTAATATATAAAATCATTGTAATAAAAAATTATTATTATTTTGAACAAACATTACAGGCATTAAAACAGAATAGAATTCTCTTATTTGTAAATTAAGGATCTTATATAATTTATCTTAGATGTAAAAAATTTAATTTTTTTTTTTAACTTTTTAAACATTTTAACTAAATTTGATGACCACAAACAAGACAAAGAGCTTGTCTATAAAATGAATTTTCGCCACGCTCTGAACACACAACACACTTTCTCACCTTAGAGGCTTGAAGCTTCCTATCAGCTTTGCTGTGCAATTCAAAGCGTTTTAAAACAAGATGCAACTTTTGCTCCTGATTTCTAACTGAATGCAACTGCCTTAATTCCTTATTTACGCTATTATGCAAACACTCTCCCTCCTCTTCACTCAGCAACCCAATAGTTTTATGCAATTTTACAAATAGTGGCACATTGAAAATGAGTGCATGCATTTTTCGCGTGATACTTTCTTTTGGAAAGCAAGCATGAAGCTCAATAGCAAATAAATTTATATATTGATGAAGCTCAGAAATTTCGGCATCAGAAAGAAATTTTCGCTTAAAAAGAATAAGTTGCAAGTTATTAAAAACACTAAACACACGTACAAATCTATTTTTAATTGCTTCATCATCAATAACACTACAAAGTTTATAGTGGTTTCTTAATACTATTTTACAATGATTACCTACAAATACATTACCATGGTAAGCTTGTCGCTCAACTTTCATATCTTCAAGGGCCTTATAAAGAGACCTCTCATGAGTCCCCATGCTACTTATAGATATTTTTTCTAGGTCTTCACACTCTATCTGCAATCGAATATACTCAGCGTCTAAAACTTCGCGCTGTGCGCGTATAAAAGAAATTTTTTTAGAAATATAAAGGTCAAGACATTCTAAATCTTCACCCTGACATGCTAAACACTCATACTTCTCTATATCACACAATACATTCTTTTCCGAACCACCAATAATTTCACAAAATTGATGGAACAATTTTTGGCACGTACCACACTGCACCCAATCAATGTTACAATCATATTTAGTAATTAAACACCTGATACTAGCACACTTTTCTTGCTGTTTACAGGTTGTTTTTTTATTGGAGGAGTTTAGAGATATGCATTCCAATTCAGAAATATTTTTATCAAAAGCTAACCAACGAGTCTGTAGATTTGCAACGTCTACAAATTGATTTCCTAATAAACGTAAAGAGTCTGCTGTTTTAGAACATTCAAAGCTTTTAGCAGCCCACAATTCATTCGTTCTCACATTCTCATTATGCGACAAAGACGAAACAGCTTGACAATCCAAAGTCTTACACTCCTTCAACAATAACTTATAAAGTTTTAACACAACTCCTAACATAATATGCAAAACAGGTGGCACTACATTATCTAAAGTTATTATGGGGAAAATCACAGGAGCAATAATTGAATTATGAAACTTACCTAGAGCTCTTAGGTTTCCACCTTGTCTATCTTCACACAAGTTCTCATTGTAAGCACTTTCCAGAGATTGTATTGTCCTCCTTAAGATGTTACAATTAGCAGGTGTGTGAGGCATAGAAGCATGGTTTCTTAGAGAATTCAACTTAACTAGGTCTGTAGAACTAGGAAAGCTAGCAGCTGAACCCTGGTGTCCCAGAACATCATCGATAAAATTAAAATCTCCACCTAAGAACAACCTGACTATTTTGCCTTTTAGCTTAAAATCTGGCGACTGAATTCTTTTAATGTCGTTGGCATAATGCCCTAGAACTAAGGCAATATTCTCACGACAGTCTGAACCCTGATACATACAAAATAAATGAACATCATATACAGACCCTGATGATTTAGAATTGACAACTTCAAAATGGAATTTCATATACTTCCCACCCTTATCCCCAGCAAAAAGGAGCCATACCTCTTTGCAAAAACCGACATCAGAATTGAAGTGGTCACGAACGTGCAGACTATTGAAAACCTCTTCAATATAAGTTATCAAATTCTTGACCATCAATACAGGTACTAAACAAGGTGCTTCATTCGCAGATGGATAAAGCAACATGGACTTTACAGTAACATGTTCTTTACTAACATGCATTGTCTGCATTTCTTGTTCTTGTCTTATCTTGGACTCAGATGGGAGAATCCTTGCACCAAGATTACACAGAATACGTCTTAGCCTACGGAATTCAGCCGTGGGCATCCTTAATTGGCTCTGCAGCTCTACAGCATCAGAAACACTTAACTGCCTAACTAAACCCAACTTATTTGCAACACAATGAAACATAGACTTTTCACAAGACATAGAATCACAAAACAACATAGACAAATCACTTTCCAAATCTGAACAAGCTAATAATCGAAGGAATATAAAAGCAAGTTTAGATCGTCTAGCTGCAGCATGCCTACCTAACTTAGAATAAGATTTACCATCTCCTAACTTAATGTAAGTATATTTCTTACCAACTATTGGCTTTTTAACTGATATAGTCTGTGGATTACTTAATTTAAACCCACAGAATAATTCAGAGGAACCAATGTTGTCATAGTCTAAATAAGAATCAACGACAACTAAATCCTTATCACTGCTAGCAAAATATTTGCAAATTTGGCAACTGTTCTTGTTTATATCACTGATTTTTGCATTTTTTTTTTCAAATTTAAATTTTTTTAGCAATCTTACATTTTTGGCACGAGCAGATGCAAATTTACGGTGTGCTGTTTTTAATTTTTTTTTATAAAGTTGGAACTGCTCCTCCTGTTTTAGTCTAATACTCATAGTCTCTAATTGAGAACTTAATGAGTTACAATGTGCGTTGAGAGCCTTGTATTTAGAATTTAAATATATAACTTCAGTTTCCAACTTTGATACCTGTATTTTTAAATTATCTATTTGCTCCACATTATTTTTTTCTTTAGAAATTAATTGTTCAACTTGACTACTTAGTTCCTTATTCCTATTTAAAATATAAAAATTATCTGCATCTGCTGATTTTTTTTGTTTTTTTGTTTGTGGAGCTGGAGACAGTTGCATTTTAAAAAATGCTTCGTTTTTTGAAGCTTCAAAATACTTTTTAGAATCTTTTTTTCTTTGTTTTATTTTTCGGCACATTTTATTTAACACATCAATATTAGGCATATTAAACTCAATTGGCAAAAGAAAACTTAAAAAAGTAAACAACGTTTTTGGATGAAAAACTGTTAATAAAATTGAAATCACATTGTTAGTGATCTTACTAGTGTCAATTACTCGCTTTACAAAATTAAAGTTATACTCATTTTCCCAACCATCTTCCCAACCGATGTACAGTTTCAAAATTTCCCTCTCAGTTGCATACATCACATAAATAATGATAATGATATTATAATAATAATATAATAAAAGAAATTAAATAAAATAATATTTACAAATAAATACACTAAAAATAAAAGAATTAAGCAACTTATCTGAGATTAGTCGAATATCCACGAGGAAATAATCCACGAAACTTTGCTTTATAATCTTTATTGATATAGTAATAAAATTA